AATGTAGGTACACTCCGGGCTCGCAGGCTCTTCGGCGTCAATGCAAGAAGTGATTTATATGAAGTTTAACTATTTCTCATATGTGTTAACTTGTTTAATGGACCTGTGGACTTGTGAACTTATGGACTATGTGATGGACTTGTGAACTTATGGACTATGTGACGGATTTGTGGACTTATTTGTCAACTTAGTTAACTTGTGGACTGCGTGATGTTTGATGTACAACTTGTTTTGTTTTGTATGTTTACTGTGAATTTTTGCAAATATGTGGAAGTAGAGCAACCCTGTTTACTCTGTATTGTCAGCGCGACCACCTTGGCACCGTGCTGGAAGGGGCGACGCCAGCCAGAAGGGGAGGCAGAAGGACTAGGTGGTCGGGGAGAGGAGGGGGGCGCCAGCCACCCTGGTGCGGTGGTTGGGGGGCGGAGCCAGGCGACGGCCCGAGGCAGAAGGTCCTAAGGGGCGGGGGGTAGAGCCAACCACCCTGGCGCCATGCTTGGGGGGGGGGGGGCTATCACGCCCTGAATTTCCCCTCCCTTGCTTTATATTCAATTAATAAATCGTCCAAAGAAATGGTTTAATTTAACCTAGAGATGAATCCCTAATTAATAATTGGAATTGGTACGGTGGAATTTTTCTTAAGTTACCCATGCCCTAATGCATTAACAGGATTTTTAGTGGAATTTTCAGAGCCCTATAAATAATTTTAACCAATTAAAATCAATTAACCGCAATATATAAATCACAGGAAAAGTCCTTTGTTCTTTTTCCATTTCTTTTCCTCATTTTTTTTCTTCTTGGGCCATCGGCCCATTCTCCCTCCCGCGCCCAATCGTTTGCTGCGCCGGCCCATTTACCTTCCCTTCTCTCTCCGGGACACCGACAGGTGGGTCCCACCTATCGGGGTCGTCCCCTTCCTCCGACCAGCACGCCCTAGTGGCAATTGCCGCTACCGCCAACCTTTCCCGGTCGATCCCGCGCCCCACTCCTCTCCCGCTCCGCGCACCATGTCGCCACCCACGCCCCGCCTTCCCACCCCCGCGTGCGTGCACAAAATGAGCGGGATTCATTTTGAATTCCATCCCCCCTCTCTCTCCCTCCACTTCCCCCACGTCGCCGGCCAAATTAGCCCTTTTCCCGGCCGTGTTCGCCCCTCCTGCACCCACGAAATCCCTCCCCGAGCCCTCCCTCTCATTTTCCTCACTCGTCGCCTTCTCCCGGGTCCTCCGCCGCTCTCCCCACGCCAAACCGAGCTCTGCCGGCCGCCGCCGATCTCCGTCCGCACGCCGCCGTTGCTAGGGCCGCCGCCACGCCGTGAAACCGCCGCCGTCGCGCTCGCCGGTGCCACCCGCACCTCGGCCACCGCTTGGTTGCCACCTAGCGCCGCCGCACCGCTCTTCGCACGCGCCGCCGCCTACTGCCGCCTCCATCCGCCGCTAGCCGCCGCTAGTTCCACCGCCGCGCCACTCCATAGCCGCCGTTGGCCTCGCGGGGTCGAGGGCCTCCACATCCACCCACCCACCTCGTCGTTCGCCGCTCGCCGCCGTCGTTCGCCGTCATCTTTCCCCCGCTGGCCGACCCCACGGTGAGAAACCCCCTCTCCTCCCTCCTACCCTCCCTCCCGCATCTGCTGCCGCTCTCCGCATGCTCGCCATCGTCTTCGGCCGCCGCCGCCGTCCTGTGCACTGTCCGCCGCCGCTTGCCGTCGCCGGCGGTCGCGCGCCGCCGCCCTCGCGATAGCCGGCCGGCTGGCTTGAAGCCGAGCCGAGCCTGGCAGCTATCGCCCGCGCCATCCGATCAGCGTCGGGGCCGATTCGAACTATTGGTCCCAGTTGACCGGCGGTGGACCACCCGCGTGGTCCCGATCCACGGTGGACCAGCGTCCTTTGGGCCACTGCCCGGTGGGGCCCGCTAGCCAGTGCCACCTCCCTCCCCCTTGTGCCGCTCACCTATGGGGCCCACATGTCGGCGCAGCCCCCCCTCCTTTGATGACGTCAGCCCTGGGATATTGCGCAATAAATAATTAAGGCCTTTTCTTTTTATAGTAAAAACTTAGATTATCTTCTAAAAATCATAACTAATTCATCCGAGCTCTGTTTAAGTCCATTTAAGTCTCAGTAAGTTCATAAAAACCCCTAGAATCCATTAAAATAGTTTTGTTTCCTGTTTCTGTAGGCTTATATCATGTTTTGCTTGTGTGCTTTGTTTGTCGTATAGATTTCGGCCGTTTCGTCGATCCGCGGTCCCTCGAAGACGTTGCTGAGGTCTCATCAGTGCGAGAGAAAGGTAAGTCATGCATTACAATTGATCAAATTGTACCCAATTTACAAATATCCCACTTTCTATTAAGTGTTGCATTATTTTACAATATCATGTGGGATGGGTCCTATTACTCAGCCTTATATTTTTATCTCATGCCATTGATAACTTGGGTATTAATCGGACTAGATGTTGGTTTAGGAAATGCTAGTCATGCTTAGATCCACTAGTGTACCTAATGGGATAATCACATTATTAGACATTTAGATTCATGACGAGCTGCGTGCTCGAGACATCCGGCCATGTTTCATTAGTCGTAAGTATCCAATTAAAACGCGACTGAATGGTGGGTTGTGGGTACATGGTTTTGCTGGTCGTACCCATAACAGTTAATGACCGGTTCACGGGAAACCTTGGGAAACTTACTGTGCTTACCACAAGCCACAAGCGAGAGTGGGCAATTGCTTGACTTGTAGTATAGCTCGACCCTTTCCTAGGCACCGGTGGCGAGGGTGGGCATGATGGAGTTGGGTCGGTCGGGGGGTTGTCCAGCTGCCGGATTCACCGCGGCGCACGAGGGGCTGCCCACTGCCTGTTGAGGGGTGGGGTTGAAATCTTAGCGTGGTGTGGATGGTTAGGGGCGAGTTATGCGAATGGTCTTGTCATGATTTCCCCCTTTGCAGTGCCATGGTGGTATTTCGAGGCATGGCGACATGTGTGAAATCGTGTCTTGTGAGTACAGTTGTACACCTCTGGCCAGAGTAAAACTATTCGAATAGCCGTGCCCGCGGTTATGGGCGATCAACCAGATTCACTGTGCTTAGTCCCATCCTTAAGAATTGGCTTAATGAACTGGTGTAGTTCAGGTGGTTGGTTGGGCCTGTTGCAACGTGGTGTAGCATTGGACAGTGATGATTAATATTTCTTAATTTACTACAACTGTTTTACTGCTTTCAACTACTGTTTTAAATGTCTGCTTTATGCAAATGAACCCTTAGCCTCCTTTGGATATATCTTGCATCATACCTTCTCTCCCGGTATGACTTACTGAGTAGAGTGGGTAGTATTCAGTTTTGCTCTCTCTCTTTCCCACACTAGAGTTGAAGATCTTCCCAGTTGGAGTTGTCTTAGAGAAGTTGGTTTCGTCGCTGCCGTCAAGGATGCCTGTGGAGTGGAGTTGCCTCGCTGCAGGAGTAAAGCTTTCTAGTTTAGCTCGCTTTTATCTTTTCCTGTGCATTTGTAATACTTTATACTTTTGTAAGACGTGGATCTATATGTCAACAATTATTGTTTGTGTACCCTGGCTGATCCTGGACAAGGGTTTTAATACACATTTAGCTTAGAAATTCTTGTTCGTGAATTTTTATTCGTGAATTTCTAGGCATGATAGCGGCGCCAGCCAGTAGCCCGAGGCAGAAGGTCCTGGGGGGCTGCGCCAGCCACCCTGGTGCCGTGGTATGTGGGATGGCGCCAGTGTGGCTAGCGCCCCCCTTTGCCACGTCAGCCCAACCATGTCTCTCTGCTTGCCACGGTGGCACGGTGACGGCATCAGAGTGGCTGGCGCCGCCATGTTGGAGGACGGCGCCAACCTCTCTGGAGCAAAAAAAGGACCATTCCTGGATTAAGTTTTTTTATGGGTCTATTTATAAAATAATTTTTTAAAAGGATTAAAATGTAAAAAAAATCAGTGTTAATAACCATCGACCAGTGCTCAACCGAAACTTTTGTATCGATCTGAAATTCGTAATTACATAGTTAGATAGCTACAGGAAGTGTCCGGCATGGTAGGATGCTCCGTCCTTGGGATGCTTAATCTCGCCGTCGCAGCTGAAGCAGAAGTTCATCCGGGACGGCGAGGTGATCTCCGTGATTTTCACCGGCGGGTCGGCCGGCGGCGGCGAGGCCGCCAACTCGGTCGGCCTCGTCGTCCAGGACCGGAGGCACGTCGATATCCAACCTTCACCGTCGTTATGCACCGGCGAAGAAGAGCTGCTCCTGCCGCAAGGTGCCGCCACTGGCGGCCCTGGCTATGAGACTTTTTATTATTATTTGATCATTTTGTCATAAAATAGCAGTTTGGATGTCACTTCCAGAAGATTGCTTAAAGATAAATGTGGACACAGCAATATCAAGATCAAGAGCCGTTGATATAGCTGTGTTGTGCTCTGTGTCTGATGAATTTGTGGTGGCCAGTACTTTGGTTTAGAAAGTGCTCTCTGACTCAGGTACAATAGAATCACTCGGGTATCTAGGCACGAAGGCAACATTTTACAAGAGTAGAATTTCTTTATGATGAAAATCGGGCTTGTAACTTTGATGCTCACAAGGTAGTTTGCTTGTACCTTAGAGGGAGGGTGTCATGCTTGGTTTTCAAATCATCCTTATAATCTGAGTAGGAATGTAACTAAACTTGGTTCTTAATGAATAAAATGCCAAATTTTTATTCTAAAAAAATATAATTTAAATTAATATTATTTTAGATGTATATTAGATAATTAAATAGCCCATTATCACTGGACCAGCCTTTCAGATTGGGTCGTTACCATTGCCTGGCCCATCATGAAACAGAATGGCCATGGTCCGATCGCAATAGGCCGAGGCAAGCAGGATCGGCCGCGCTTGTGGACCAAAGGCATGACGCGCTGACGCTTTTGAAATCACGGGCCTGAACTGTCATGAGGGCAATCTTGGGCCAGGCCCATGAGACAAGACGAAATCGGTCGGACAATGCAACGAGGCAATAAACAGAGCTTAATTAGCTTGCTATAAAGTGTAAACTCGATCTTACATGCATTGACGACGAACAAAGTTATCACTTACATCCCTTATTATTCTCAATCTTTATAGTAGTATTAGCCGAGCTAATACTATCTCCGTTAAAGAAAGAAAGTAGACTTTTAAATACGAATCTGAACAAACGCCCTCGTCAATCTTGCCTGCTGATAAGGCAACTGCCACTACCAAGCGATCGATCGATGGACATATTATTATTATTGCTCAACAAAGTAGAGGGATTAATCCGCTTGCAGACTAATCAGGCGACAGCACGTGGCTGGCATTGCTTCAAATTGTTCGCTTTCACCATGCCCTGCACCATGCATCATTAGATTTTTTTTACCGTACTCATCATAGTAATTACTGAAAATTTACTTTTGAGGAAATCGTGTGTTAACCTGGTAGATTTTGATCATGAATTGGTTGATGTCGTCGAGCGATACGACGCCCTCGTACGCGGCGTTGAGACGGTAGCTGCTGCCATCGTGTCCAGACGCCTCCAGCAGCGGCGGCGCAGGCGGCAGCTGCTTCTCGCAGGTGTACTCGCACTCGTGGCACTCACCCTCGTCGCCGCCGCTCTCCGGCAGCGTGATCGCCACCTGCAGCGTCAGGTGCACCTCCAGCGTCACGAACACGCCCACCACGTTCGCCGGCGACCCCATCGCCGTCGGCCGCTGCATCTTGTAGCTCGACATCCATGAGAATATGTACGCCGTGCCAACGATGTACTGCTTGCTCAGGCTGTTCGCCACCGCGGTGATCTCGCCGTCGAGGGATCCCAGATCGAGGCCGACCCAGAACTGGTGCTCGAGCACGAGCTCCTCCCACCTCGCCAGCAGCTTCCTCCCCAGGTCGTCGACGTCGACGTCGTTCCACCCGGTCACCGGAGTGCGGTGGAGGATCTCTTTGTCGATGAAGGTGTCGAACATCTTCAGCACACTGAACTGGAAGATTTGGTTGACGACAATGGCGGAGGGAACCAGCACGGCGGCGTTAGGCCTCTCCACGACGAGATCAACAGGTGCTGCTGCGTCGTCGACGTCCACGCCGCCACTAGTGTACAGCTGGCCATCGAGGCTGGCGACGAGCAGCTGCTGCTGGTCGCAGCAGACGCCCTCCACCGTCCGCAATGCCGGCGGCGCGGCGGGCACGTAGAGGTGGACGACGAAGCTCTTGACCTCGCCGGCGTAGAGGGCGCCGATGACGATCTCGCCGGAGGCGCCCCCGTCGACCTGGGAGACTGAACTCGCGTAGTCCCCGGAGCTGATCCTGTCGATCCTCACGCCGCTGCCGCTCGCCGCCTTGAGGACGACGCGCGCGCCGACGGCGGCGACGGACTTGAGACCGCCGAGGCACAGGGCGAGCGCGCTTGCGACCTTGTCGACGTTGCCGTCGTCGAGGAAGGAGTAGGTGCCATGCGATCGCTGGGCGATGAGGCGCAGCGCCGCGGCGTCGTGCGAGGCGCCCAGGCCGAAGGCGTGCACGGGGTACTTGGCCAGGGCGGCGGTGAACCACTCCGGCATGCCGGAGTTGAAGCGGGTGATGTCCTCTCCGTCGGTCACCAACACGATGAACTTCGCGCGGCCGTCGGAAGAGCTCGCCGGCTGCTCCTCCAGCATCTGCACGCAAATCAGAATAATATGAATGATTTTTTCTTTTATAGAAAAAAAACACTTTGGTATTGATCCTTGCCAATATGAAAAAGAAAACAATATCTATATAAGCAAGAAAATACATCTAGAGTTATTCGAGAAATTGAAAAGAAAAGTAGAGTTACATTTAATTATTTATTCTGAAGTTACATTTTTATGGAGCTAGTTTTTCACTAATTAAGGGGATATCTCCCTTTGTTTTCTCCTATCTCCGAAATGGCAACCAATTAAGGCTGTGTTCTTCTCCCCATTTCCCAACCCACCTCTCTCATTTTCCGTGCCCACACTTTTCAAACTGCAAAACGGTGTGATTTATACAAAAACTTTCTATATGAAAGCTGTTTTGAAAAATCACATTAATCTATTTTTTTTAAAAAAAATAGTTAATACTTAATTAATCATGCAATAAAATGAACTTTGTTTTGCGTGCCAGGGAGGAGTGGTTCCCAACCCCCTCCTCCGAACACAACCTAAGTAGTTATCAAAAGATCTTAACAAAATCAATAATATTGATATGTCGATAAAATTTTAACTCATTTAGATTAAATTTAAAGTTGCATGATTGTAAAATAATATAGCACACAATTATTTATATTGTCAGATAGTCTAATAAATTTTCATAACTAGTTAGATGACATGCAAATGATGTATAGGATATCCATTTCAGTGGTAAAAATACTTTCTATATTCCTATGTTAATTACTTGTGCACTTTTAGGACATACATTAAACAAATAAGACAATATTATACAATTGATAAATAACAAAGCTGATCAAATATCATTGTTGTGGTTTTCTTATAGTATGCAAGTGGACCAAGGACTAAAAATATATAAGGAAAAATGTATCAATATCTCAATGTAGAAATACACAAACCAAAGAAAGCACATACCTTGAGGGCCTCATCCAAGCTTGACCTTGCTGGACCGGCAATGCGACGGCCCTCCAACTCATCTACCTTCTTCTCAGCAACCCTTCGGCTACCATGAATACTCATAAACTTAGGGATGACCTCTCGGCTCATGGATGGCCCAAAGATGGCGATAGAGTCTTTATCACTGAGTTGTTGGATGGCGAATTTCATGGCTTTTTTCACCGGTTCCAGACTCACTGATTCGACGTCAACGTCGAGCACCATGACAAGATCAATGGGGACACGGCCCTTGAGATCCACTAGTGGTGGCGCCTCAATGCGTAGTAGCACCTGAAAATCCTTGGTCGTCTGAGCTCGTGGGATCTTGGAGAAGATGGGTGTGGTGCTCACTTTCACTGCTGCCATCCCTGCAGCAGCACTCATCACCTGCATACAAGAATGTGTATGTGACAGCAACGGATTAAGATAAGTTTTTCACCTCATTTTTTTTTCTTGTGTATCAGTTATACCCAATTTTTGAAAGACTTCAAATGGTACAAACCAACTGTAAAAGAGCTAAACATTAATCTAGGAGTGTTCTCAAGCAAGAACAAATCCGTTGTTACATATTGGCAAGTAACTAAATATTAATGCCATAGTAGAGATATTGTATACAAGTATATATAGTTTTAAATAAGTAGAGTTATTTGTATATATATATTTTTTGAGGGGGATGGAGTTATTTGTATATTGATCGGCCGGTCAAATGACAACAAATATATGGTCCCAATAATAAATTGTGCATGGAATCCCTACACGATGTTGATGTCCTTTACGTGCACCATCCTATCGATACCCATATGTGAAAATTTTAAGATATAAAAGTTAAAAGAAAGTTCTCCTTAAAAAGAAGGTTAAAAGAAAGGAGTTAAACCTGTGCGAGCAATAGCGTGGAGAAGAAGCACACTAACAGAAGCAACAAATTATGGAGTCTACCCATCGATCTCTACTGCAATGTGATCGTACGTACGTCTAACCGAGTGTTGTGTGTGATTCTTGCGTTCGGTTGATGCTCTTTCAAATAATGAATCTCCAAGAGCAAGGTTAAGTGCCAATATATAGGCACAAATAGCCCACCCTAGCTTGATCCTTTGATAGCTGTAAGCTACCCCAGGTAGTTCTAACTAATAGTTAACTTAACTAGGTCAACTAGTAGATCAACACTTACGATCAAAGCTAATAAAAACATACATTTAAATAAGCTGTTTTGATCTCTAGCGTTCTACACGTTCTCATTTAGCTTCTCATTGACAATTTAACGTTCTAGAAACGACTTCACATGTACTCTGCTCTCTCCTCTGCCCCAAAAAATAAATGAATTCCTAACTATCCCCAGTATTGTAGCGCCCGTTCCGTCGTGGCGCCTAGCGGGAAAACTATCTCTTAAAAACTCTATTTGCGAAATCTGTTTCTTTGCTTGTTGTCTAGTGTCCGTGCCATCTCAGATCTCAAATCCCCGATCTATCGTTGAGTTCAATCCCTCCGCAAAAGTCTATTTTGCCTCCCTCGGGTTCGATGGGCCGAATCCCTCTCGGCCCATCTCCCCCTCCCTCCCCGGCTCCATCTCTCTCTCTCTCTCTCTCCCTCTCTCCCTCGCTCTGCCCGCGCGTGCGCGAGAGCCGCGCCGAGCGCCCCTCCTCGCTTTCCCTCTCCCCACCTACATCCTTAGCGAGCTCCCCGCCCGCAAAATCAGCCCCCGCGCGCCGTTGTTCGCGTGCGCGCGCCCGCGTGGTTGCCGCCCGTGCCGCGCCTGCGCCGTCTGCGCCGCCCGGCCCCGCTGCCCTGCCGCGCAGCCGCTCGGCCCCGCGAGCCAACACGCGTGCCCGAGCCGCGCCGCTCAAATCGCCGCGCCGCCCATTGCTTCCCGTGCGCGCGCACCGTGGTGGCCGACCGCCTGGTCGCCGCCGCCGTCAGCCTCTACCGCGCCTGTCCGTGCCTGCCGCCCGTGTCGCTGCTTCGCTCCACACCGCCCGGCCGTCATCGCCGTCGTCATCAACCCGACCCCGCCACTCCGCGCGCTAGCCTCCAAGGGACGGAGGCAGAGCTCCTCCTCCCTCTGCCGCGTCGCCCTGTCTCCCTCTTTCTTTTCCCAAAGAAGCAAGGAGGCAAGCCCCCTTTTCCTCTTCCTTTCTTCTTTTTCCTCCTATCGCCGGCGTCACCTCCTGTCGCCGTTTTGGCCATGACCAAGCGCTAGCCCTCTCCTTCGACCGCCCTAGGTCGGTTCCCAAACCGACATTGCCATTCTATAAAGCCCAGGCGCCCTCCCTCTCTTCTCCTCTCGTTGTCCTATCGCCTCCACTCCCTTGTCGTCGCCTCCCGTGCTCTGTTGAATGCTTAAAAAACTTAATTTAAAAAATATAATCCCTTAAAGGTGTTGATGGTTTCGCACATGTTGGCTCCCCTATCTATGCTTCCTATAAAGTTAAAGCCCACTAAATCTAAAGCTCAACATGCAATTATGCCACATCATCACCCACTAACAATAAGTACATGTTTAATCTCATGCAAGCATACAACATCATCACCCACTAACAATAATTATATATTTTAATAAATCTATCTATCACTTTTATGGACGATTCATTTGGGGTGTAGAGAATTTACTAGCCTCCGTAAAAAAAACCCTAGTTTTTATAATTGTGTACTATATTAATTTTTTGTTGAGTTGGTATATGTCGTGATTTGGAGAATATAGTTGGCTGTCATCTGGGAGTATATATGTGGTAATGTTTATTGCTATATATGGCTGTTGGTTATGTGGTAATGGTTTAGGGTTTATTGTAGGGGTAATTTTTTTTTTAATTTCAAGATGTTTAGGAAGGATGACGTCGGTTCCCAAACCGACATTGCCATTCTATAAAGCCCAGGCGCTCTCCCTCTCTTCTCCTCTCGTTGTCCTATCGCCTCCACTCCCTTGTCGTCGCCTCCCGTGCTCTGTTCGCCGTCGCCGTTCGTCGTTGCGCATGTCGGAGGAGCCGGCACGAGCAAGGACGCGGAAGGGGACTCCGGGCGCGCCCTCCCCCTCCTCTTCCTCGGCCCGAGGCCGAAACGATCACGTTTCGCGCCGTCGGCTCTCGTCACTGCGCCCCGTCTGCACGGTAGCGCATCTCCCCGTTCTTCCTCCTAGTTCCATCTCCTCCCCTTAGACTCGGGTAGTAGCACGAGTAGCCTCCCCGTAGCTAGCAGGCGCCGCCCCGACCGTTGCCGCCGCCCGCTGTGTGCTCGCCGCCGTCGCCGCCCGTGCTCCGTAGCACCAGCTCATCGCCGGCCTCGCTCGGCGCAGCTCCGCCCAATCCGACGCTGGCAACGGATTCCCGTAGCCGCGTAGATGCTCTCGCCGCCGGGAATTGGCCCCTCGTGACCTCGTCGCCATTTCCCCCTTCTCCCGCCGCCGGTTGCCGCCGCTGCAATCCGCCGCCGTCGAGCATTCCCCGGCAAATCCGAGCCGTTGGCTCGACTCCCCTCGTCCCGTGCAACTTCCCGGTGTGCTCGCTTTCGCCTGTATCGCCGTGATTCGCTCCGCCGCTCGCCACCGCCGTCCGCCGTCCGTTCCGGCCGGCGTCTTCTTCAACCTCCCGCCGGCCCGCATGGCAGCCACGTAGGCGCCACGTCGGTGCCACCTCGGCCGCGACCGGGTCAAGTAGACCCCAGTCCGCCGCTCCCCTCTGCCCCCTCGCGCGCGCGGTCCACCGCGAGCCGTGAGGCTGCACGTGGGCCCGCCGCACCGCGTCCTCCGCGAACCGCGCGCATGCGCCGCGTGCTCCCTCCGCACGGTGAGCCGAGCCACCGACAAGCGGGTCCCACCCGGGACCACGCGGGATGGACCCGGCCCACCGGCTCTCTCTCTCCCCTCCCCGCCCGCGCGCGTGCCATGGGCCGCCTTCTTGGGCCGGCCGGCCCATTAAGCTCGGCCGAGCCGCCCCTTTCTCTCGGGCCGCGCCCTAGCCGCCCAAGGGAAGTCTAATTTCCCCCCTCCTTCTTTTCTTTTCTTTTCTTTTTCAAAAAGGATTTAAATAACTCCTTTTTCCTTTAGACCAAAAATTCAATAATCTTAGAAATTCAATATATTCCCAACCGTAAATCCGTTTGACTCCGTTCAACTTCCAAAATTCCTCAAATCTCGAGATCTATCTAATGGCACGCTTAGAGGTCATTAATAGGGCTTTATTTTCACCGTTTGTTGAGTTGTCCCGTTTTGCGTGTAGTTTCGGAGCCCGAAGACCCGCAGTGCAAGGATTTCGAGGATCAAGCTCAAGATCTCGAGCAAGGCAAGCCACCTTTGAACATCTTGAGCCTATATTTGAACTTAATTATGTTGCTTGAAAAATATTATGCATTGATAGGATCGCACTTAATCTGCTTGTCCCGTCTGCAAGGCAGATTGGCGGACCTACCTAATTTGTTGCATTTGATCCTTCCTTTGTTAATTGTTATACCATGTTCCCTTGTAACCACCCAGTTGCGCCTCGGAAATCGTGCACTCTGCACGAGTATCGACGGTCGCCTTCAAACTTAAAATCTGGAAAACATCTTGGGTAAAACTTGGGTTTTACAAAAGACTTGGAAAACCCGACACCTGGGTCAGTGCTTGCGAACTAAATGAATTTCCAAAACCGCGGACCGGGGAACGTACCGGGTGTACGGTTTCCCGCTCTTGCACTTAAGGACCGTTTCCTTGGAATTTCATCCAATCATAAGACAAGTACGACCACATGGGTGGAATGGGACACCCCTGGCTGAGTAACTAGCTTATCAGGGGAGCCTTGATGCCGAGAGACATGTGGATTCGCCGAGGTGGTGTCGGGGAGGACCCCTAGGCTTCCTGGCACAGTATGGTCTAGGACCTAACCTGTTGTTGGTCTGGGACCCCTCTCGTCGGCATATGGTAAACCTGTGTCGGCTTTGGAAATGCCTTGTCATGAAAGCTTGGAGGTCTCCCGACGTGGCTGATCCCCACGGGCTGGGTGATCCGGGTTAGTAATGTCGTGTGGGTAAAGTGTACCCCCTCTGCAGAGGTTAACAAACTGTTCGAACAGCCATGCCCACGGTCATGGGCGGATGTGAGGTGATTCCTAGCGTAGTTTTGTCTGACTACTGCCTTGTGAAATTTGCTGTTGTGGAATGGGTTTGATGTTTGGAAAATCTGCGGCTGACGGGATCAGCCAGGCCCGGGTGACCGTTTGAAAGCTGTTGGCCGGGTGCCAACCTTGATCAATTCAAAATACTGATACATTGCACATACTCCGACCGGACGAGACGCACTGTCTCATCCGTGTCGTTTGAGAAGCACTCACTTAGTTGTTTCAGAAAAGAGTTCAAATAAAATCAATTGCAAAAACAACAGCCTTTCCTTGAAGCCTGTATTAAACACTTATTTCCCATGGCTTGCTAAGTGCTCCCGTACTCACCCTTGCTCTATATAAATAATCCCCCCCAGTTGCTGAAGAAGATGAAGCGGATCCCGCTGATGAGGAGTTCTTCCAGGAGCAAGCCGGCTACGATGAGTTTTAGGGTTTCGGCCTAGTTCCCAAGTCACGCCTGTGATGTTTGGTCCAAGTCTGGCTTCCGTTTTCCTTTTGTAATGCAGTTGTGAGCTCGGGATCTGTCCGCAGCCCAACATAACTGTACACCTACTCTATAATAAAGAGACCTCTTTTGCTGTGATATTCTATCTCCCTGTGATACCAGCACTATTTCCTGGGACTGGTATCGATTAACATGTTAATTTGGAGCGTCACGGGCTAGTTCTGGTCGGGACTAGTTCGGGGCGTGACAAGTATCCAAGACAAAAATAATATTAAGGGGAAAAAAAACCCCATCATTAATAGAAAGGTGTAGAATTGGTTGGTGGCTATGAAAGGAGCATTGCATTGAAGGGAGAAAATTTCTTGATTTGTGAACCAGGAAAAGTAAGAAAAAGTAAGAAAAATGTGTTGGCTGCTTATATTTTAAAACATCGTTTATTTTGTGACAAGAGTGAATATACGAAAAATTGTTACCTATTCGATGATTGGTGATTTGGTCT